CCATCCATCCATCCATCCATCCATCCATCCATCCATCCATCCATCCACCCGCTTCCCCCAGGCTGAGCCATGCTGGCTTGGCACTAGATACTGACACCATTGAGTGTTTGAGGTTTTTTATTTGGTGCCCTGGGAAGTGCCCACAGGGGCAGCGAATCTCTGCCCACCCAAGGGCTCAGCCCCAGCTGCCACTCAGCACCATCCCTTATGCTGCCCATTCCCTCTCTGCTAGGGACAGGCAGGGGACACAGCCACCACCTGCAGGCCAGTCTTGGGCACTAGAGGTGGGCATGGGGCACAGGATCTCCATTGCTTTTTGGTAGAACCAAGGGGAAACAGAGCCACCAGGACCTCATGGGGCAGGCACAGCAACAGCTGACCCAGCTCTGTCACCAGGATATTTTTTTCCACAGGGGACAAAACCATAGGAGAGGCACAGCTGAAGGCGGCAGGATACAACTTGACCCCTGCCAGCTCTTCTGGACCCTGAGCCACACAGAAAACCAAGCACAGTACCATGACACAGCTCAAACAGCACAGAAAAAGGCTGGGAGGTTTCTCCCCAGAGAACCAGGCTCAAAGGATACAACGCATCCATGTGGTTTGTGAAGGGAAACGGTGGTGGGAGACGCTGGGACCAGCACAGCTGGTGCTACATGAAAGTGGCTGCTGGTGGCATATAGGGGGAAGGAGGAGGTCACACAGAACTCAGACACTGCTTTGCACTGTCCCAGACCACAGCAATGTCAGAAGGGTGGGGGTGGTCCGGTTTGCTCGAGTGTCTTCAGCCCACAAGGCCACAAAGGGGCTACAGCTGTTCATTGTGTTTCTCCAGCACAGGCCATGCAGGAGAACACAGCTCACAGCCTCGGGTTCTACCCAAATCCCCTCGGCCAAATGAGCACCTTGCAGTTCACAGTCTCTCCAAGGCAGAATTGTCCCATGTCACCACGTTCAGTGTATGGAGGGGCCGCTGGCCCACCGAGGTAAGGATGAGAGGTTTGCTGTGGAAGCACATCCCTGCAGTACAGTGAGGTGACGGACAGCAGGGCTGGAGACAGCCAAGGGGCTGTTAAATTACACGCAGACACACACACAAGCTTTTCTGTAAACTGGACTCCAGGAGATCCCACAGTCCTGGGCTGATCCCGCAGCCAGCGCCGGGTGCAGCATCCTACATGTTCCCACGGTATGTGATGTTGGTGAAGGTTGAGGTTGCCTCTTTGTATAATGGGTTGTTGCCCTAGAAAAGAAGCAAACAGCATCACTATTTGGTTGGCATTGGTGTTTGCTGCGTTTGGGGAAACTGAGGCACTGTTGGGTGTTGGATGCAGAGGGCAGAGCCTTGGAGGTATAATGTGCTGCAGTTTAACAGCTCCCCATGAGGCTTTATGGGGAGAACAGGGGAAAGCTGTTGTGAAGGAAAGGCAGCAAGAGCCTCAGGAAGGACCTCCCCATCCCTTCCCTCTGGGAGATGCTGAGCAGACACTGGTGCCATTCCACCCCCTCCCTCATACTATGGGTGCCTCAATCCTTCCAGCATCCCGTGGCAGCAATGTTCCATCGCTCATGAGGTGGAACACTGGTGTGGGCAGTGAGTAAGAGACTCATGCTGGAGGAAAGCACTCGAGATACACTGGGAAAAGCAGCTGGGACATTTTCTGTGTCCTGCGCCCAGTCCCTGGGAACAACAGGGGTCCAGACCGCTGGTGCCACTTCAGGTCCTGCTGTGCCACCATGCCACGCTTCAGAGATGAGCTGTTCCACAAGGAACATGGGCAGGAGGGGATCACAGACTGGGCTCTTATGCTGGGAGATCTGGGATCTGGATTCACTCAGCTCAGAGGATGAAGAACTCATGTCCTTGTGCACCCATCCCTTTGACCCTCACCGTGTCCCACTTAGCCCTGGCCTTCTCCTCCTCGAAGCGGGCGAACTCCCGGCGGTCGTGGATGGTGATGAGGAGTTTCCAGATGAGCAGGGCAGCCAGGCCGATGAGCAGGATGGCACCCGTCACCGAGAGCAGCACCACCAGGATGTCTGGCCCCTTCGGGCACTCTGGTGGGATAGAAGGGCACGGTTTTGTGGTCTACAGGGGCTCCTCTGGTCTCTCGAATGCTTGATTCTCCATCATTTTAGAACCTCTAACTTTGAGCATTCACACTGCTCCCCCCACACGCTGCTGTGCTGGGGAGGGGATGGATTGTTGTTGACCTGGGGTTCCTTTCAGAATCTTTGTGTTTGAAGGCTCTGCAGTCACACAGCCCCTTCCCCAGGCTGAAAGCAGCCTCCAAGGATGCTGGAAGCTTTGCTGCATGCAAGGAGTGCCATATTCCCAACCATGGGTGCAATCCCAGCATTACTCCTGAATGGCCAACTGGAGTTGGCTCAGTCTCAAGAAAATGAGACCCCTAGAGTCAGAACTGGGATGGGAGGGCTGAGATCGTCCTTGGCAGCTCAGCAGGGGGGTGAAACAACCTAGCAGTGTGGGGAAATGTGAGACAGAGGCAGGAAATCACAGCCCAGGTGCACAGAGCAAAGGAACAAAGCAGCACTGTTACTCATGCCAGAGCCTGGCTGGGAGGTACAAAACCCCCAGGTTAGTGCAGACCCCCCACAGTGAGTTGCAATTAGAGCCCCAGCCAGGCCCTACCTGGCTCCTCTATGACATAGAGGACAGATTTGCCACTGGAGTCCTCATAGTACTGGAAGCGCACCACGCAGTCGTTCTCATCCTTGTAGGTGCAGTTCACAGCATCCTTGCCCCTGTCACCTGGGGGGGGGTTGAGCAGCTGTCAGAGCCCTCGTGGTGGGAGCACACATGGAGGGTGCACACAGCCTCAAATACCCGCGCTTCAGGCAAAAACCTTGTGCACTGTGCTCCATCCCAGCTCTTACCCAGCTCCTGCACTGTCTCAATCTCATCACGGCACACGCGGCCACAGGACTGCTGCTCCACCAGCGTGCCCCGCTCATACTTCTTGCACTCCACGCATTCCCTGAAGAAGAGGGGAGAAGTACTATGAGCTGCATCAAACATCCTCAAGAAGGCAGGGCACCCTCTTACTCTTTGCTCTCTGTAACCCCAAACCACAGGAGCGGGGTGGGGACCACGCTGCAGGCACAAGGCCCGATGGAACCATCCCAGCTTTCCAACCCAACTCACTTTTTGATGGTGCAGGCATCTGGGCACGTGGGACACTTCTCGCAGGTGTTCCCATAGGAGCCAGGCTGGGTGCAGTCACACTTGCCACAGATGCAGGTGCCGTGGCCGCTGCACACCAGCCCATTGCTGGACATGCATGTGTCGGTGCGCGTAGTGCAGTTGCAGTAGTCACCAGTCCAGTCTGAGTCACACAGGCAGTCCCCGCAGCTGCACTTCCCGTGCCCTGGGGACAGCCAGGAGGACATCAGGACCCTCAAATGGATCCCTGCTGGGGATCACCCCCATGGGATGCTCCTGCACTTGGTGCATGGTGCAGGAAAGTGGAGCAACATCTTCATTCCACCATCCTTAGGGTGGGACGCTGCTGTTGCCATCACTTTGCTGCTTGCTGTGCTCCCAGTGTTCCTCTTATCCCACCAAAACAAGGAAACAGCCAAATCTCATGCTGAGTTCTCAGCTCCTGTGGTAGTAGCTGGAGATGCTCAATCAGCTCCATCTGAGCTACGCAAGCTTTAGCGATTCAGTCAGGACATCTGGTCAACCCCTGCTGTCATTTCCCAGCCCTCCACCATACATGGGAAGCTGACTGCTGGGAAAATCCCAGCCAGCTTTGCACACTCGCCTGGCTCGGTCAGACAGACAGACAGACCGACGTCCTCAAACCCTGCCAGAGCCCGCAGCTATTTGGATTGTGGTTTGATTTTTGACTCCAGCACCAGACACAGCAAGAGGTAGAGATGCCACAGAGCCGGCACGCGCCGACCCATCCCGAGCACAGCGTGCTCTCAGCTCACTCTGCTCTCAGCTGGGGAGGGCTGGGCACCATCCATTCACATGGCCTCGGGGGCACTGGCATGAGAAATAAATGTGTAACCCTGCTAACGAGGAACTGAGTCACAGGAAAACAGTGCTGTGCTGTGTGACAGTGCATGGAAATGTGGGGGAAGGCTGGGCAGATATGGCGAAATGTGACGTGACTGATGGCAGTGGGGTCAGACAGGGCATTGCCTGCCAAAAATGGGGTTTGTGGGTAGTTCCTCCGGGGAGGGCTTGGCCACCTTTCCCCCATCTCATTTCCTTCCCAGCGCTGGGCACACAGCCAGGGTTGGCCCAAATGGGTGAAGGGCTCGGGCACAGAGCTGGGAAACAACAGAGGGTTAATTAACAGCTTGCCCATCTCGACCAGCATCCTTTTGCCCTCTGTGCCTGATATGGGTAATGCTGTGCAAATATGCCGCACCATGGGTGGCAGCAGGAGGGATGTCACATCCCAAATGCTTCTCCCCACCCTCTCCCTTTTCCACTCTGGTGATTTTTCCTGTGGAGGAACACCTCTGACCCAGAAGGGCTGGTGGGATTCAAGCAGGGGCTGACATTGCAAAGCCTCTTCCCTTGGTGCCCCCAGCCACCCTGGTGGGGATCCAAGGATAAAGTCTGCTTGTATCCTTCTGAGCCCATCCCCTTGCCAAGGCTTTGGGGCACAGGCTGCCAAAGCAGGAGTCAATGCTTCGCACCCAGAGCTGATTCAGGGCTACGAAAGCCAACAACAGGAACAACATATGCGACAAGCCCCCCAAAATTTCTCCATGCCTCCGGGCAGCAAAAACACCTCACCAGCACAACCCACACCCCTGAGCACAGCACTCACCCGAGCACATCTGACCCTTGAAGCGGACGCAGGAGAAGTCGTCGCACTCGCAGTACTTGCCCGTCACCTTGCCAAAGTCACTGCTGTGGCACACGCACTGCCCACAGATGCA